TACAGATCCAAGTGGCTCGCGAGGACCTGGGCCGCCCAGAGTGACACTCAGAATGAAATTCCCTGTATGTTCTGTATGCTGCTGTATGCTTAGCGCAAAATTCGAAAGAAAGTACCCTATCCTCGTACAAGAGATTTATTAGCGATTAAACGTTGGATACATGTTTTGAGACATCCTATAGATTTATTACTAATGCTTTTGATGGAAAGGCCGAACATCAGTAAAACAGTCTCGGAACTTGTAAATAATCTAACGGAGTTCAGGACAGCAAAATCCTCTCGTGGCAATCACCCAAAATATCATCTAATCTATCATGACTTATAATAAGCGGCTTAATCTGAAGTTGTGTGGAGTTTGTCCGTTACGAAATTACAATGAGGAATGATTTACAATAATAAACAGCATGCGAGGTTGAGATAGCGAGTATGGTTCATTTTTAACTACGGCTCCCACGTTTCAGTCAACCGAACAATGATTTGAGGGACACAAGCTCTGAGACAGTGAGGTTACCACGGTTCATGATAGCCAGTGCTTCACCTCTGCGAAGCAGAGGTGAAGCACTGGTATACATATAAAACTCAAAAATTGTCAGTTTGGAGGGTATGTGCGTTATAGAAACGCGCGCCGCTCAACCGATTAAGCTGAAACTTTACACACATATGTTTTCGAGCCTTGCGCAGATGATAGGCTACTTTTTGCAGCGATTCGTTGGGTCCTTCTATCGATTTATTGATTTGCAGCACTTTGCATTAAAAATGATTCTTATCATTTGCTATCAAAACAGGGGTATGTAAACAAGGCTGGCATGTCTCATTGTGAACTTCTGTTGACGAAGTGCAGTGAAAAGTGTTCTTGATGTGAGTCTCAATTGCTCATTTAAATGGATGCACTAAATGTATCTTATGCGGAAACCTTAACGTGCAAGAGACCATGAGTGCTTTGTAGCAAGTGTTTTGTACGGAAGCGTGCTCAATTTACGCTTATAATCAATGCTTTCTTCGTTACATGCTCAATTTAAACAATGAGGGGTCAAAATTTTTCATGAGATTGCGCACAAATTATTTGTCAATACCAGAAATAATGTCAAGACAAGCGACAACTCACATTCGCTATAGTTGATCCCTTGGACCAGGAAAGTGCGCGAGTGCAAAGTACTGCCGACTCCACAAAAATTGACGGCAAGCAGTGAATGAAGATGAAGTAGCCGGTTAACGGCAAAGTGTCACAAAAAATGATCCTCATAATAACAATGAGCGCTGCTATCAATTAACTCGCGCTGCTTCCTAACTTGATTTGGAGAAAGAGAGATATGCTACCGACTAATAAGTGTTCACATTTTGTTTTTGTTCTTTACACAGTTTCTACAATGCCACCGAATACCTTATCTTCATTCCCGATCAGTGATCATTCCCGGGCTGGACCGGGCAGATCAGCTAGTATCATCTAATATCATTTGACGTTAACGCCCTTTATAGCAATATCAGTAACGAGTGCGCATTGCAAGCTGTTTCTGAGCTTCTTATGGGTAACAAAACCAACATCAACCTTTACATGTTTTTAGTCTCACAGCCATGACACTTCTCAAAGCGTGTTTGAGTGCAATATTTCCAAATGGCACGGGAGCTATTATGCGCAAGTAAGAGGGATGGAGATGGGACAAAGGTTAGTGCCCACACTTGCAGTAGCTTTTATGGCCAAGATCGGAGCGCCCATTCTAGACTGCCGCCCATTATTGTATTGCAGATACATCGACGATTGTTTTATAATCTGCGCAACTCAAGTAGAAGTGACAATTGCTTCAGAATACTCAACGAGGCAATCATTCAAAATATGTCCCGTAAAGCCCCGCAAAATCGTTGCTTCTAATGGATACGAAGATCGTGTCAGAATAGCGAGGAGGGGTGAAAATCGTCGTACTCAGGTGGATAGAACGCGCGAACTGAAAAGATCCCCTTTTGCATCCCCTATATTTCCGATGGAGTAAGCACTGCATATTGACAGTATCTGAGGAAGTGCAGGCTAGCAAATACAGTTACGATTGTGGATCTACCCCCAAGTAATCTCAAGAGCATTTTGGTGCGCAAGCATATCGATCACAACTGCACCAAGCCCATTTGTCCCATCTGCCCTGAGGGCAAGGGCGGGGATTGCATGGCGACGGGGGTCGTCTATCTTACCACCTGCGCGAGCTGCGGCGACGAGTACGTAGGCGAGACAGCGCGGTCGCTATGTGTTCGCATAAGAGGGCACTTGGGCGGCTAACAAGGGAGGTCGGGTCAGTCGAAGTGGCCTTTTCAAATGGGTCATATACTATTTTGAAGAGCGTTAAACGCTGATTCCGAATCTTTCTTCGTTATCAGCCGAGCGCCTCTGGACGCCGAGTTATAAATGTTTTTTGGAGCGAAAAATGAACGCAGAATTCAAGTAAAATTGACTATTACGGACTTTTGAGCGCCTAAATAGAGCAACATGTAGTATGAGTGTTTTGGGTAGAAGGTATCCTTTGAAATGGAGTGCTCTGATAACCAACATTGGACCATTTGAGCAATTCTGACGAATTTTGCTCTAATTACGCATTCAATTTTTCAACCCAAAGAACGCTCATAACTCGGCGTCCAGAGGCGCTCGGCAGATAACGAAGACAGATTCGGAATCAGCGTTCTAAGCTCTATAAGACAGTATACATTTCAAGATGAAATGCCACTTATGAAATGCCACTTCGACCATGTATCCTTGTAAGATAGACCACGAACTGCCACCCCTCCCCCCACTCGCGCTTGTACAGACATCGCAAATGTTTAAAGGCATTTTGGATTCACGCCAAAAGCCCTAAAATGAATCGTAAGGAAGAATGGCTAGCCATCACACGTAAGCTCGCTCTCTACTTGGGTCAGATCTTCTGACCCGGCGGAGACGTTATAAATAGCCGTGGCATATGCATTTAGTAATTCAACGCTCGCTCTGGCATTAGAACTCTATCGTTGTAGTTGTTTATATAAGCCGCACTCGAGATTGGTAACAATATTTATTGGGTGGCTGACGTTTCGGCAGATCGCCTTCTTCAGAGCCTGGAATGGACAAAACGATCTGCAAACTATCCGATCAAACGTCTCTGCCAGCTCCACAAGCAAAGTTCTAAGACTCTGCCTGTTCACTGACTAGACTGCCAAACCAAACGCTTACCTTTTTGGAAATGCCGATAGCATACGAGTGCCTGAGCGAGCGCTAATAAATGACCATGTGTGCCACGCTATTTATATGCCTACAGTGAGTCAAAGAGGTGACCCAGGTAAGGTGCGAGTTCACGAGTGATAGAGAGGCACTCCTCCTTGCGATTCATTTGTGGACTTTTTGCGTGAATCCAAAAGGCTTCCAAACATTTGCGGGCTGATGTTTGGGATTCATGCGCTAAGATCTTCACTGAGACTTCAAAGTTTTCTCCAGCGTGCTTCACCAGCCTGTGAGTGCCTAGAGGTGTGGTCGTGCGTGATCTATCCCTGCCGTCTAAATGCTCTTTAATGCGGACGCATAGAGGGCGCGCCGTTTCACCGATGTACATGTCGCCGCAGCCCGCGCAGGTGATAAGGTAGATGACCCCTGACGTCATGCAATCCCCGCCCCTGCCCGCAGGGCAGATAATGCAATTAGGCGTTGTGCAGGTGCGATCGTAGATGCGATTGCGGACCAAAATACCTTTTAGGTTATTTTTTTATCTCCACCATCGCAACAGAGTTTTCTAACCCGCATCTCCTCAGACACTGCCTTAAGGCAATGCTAACTTCATCAGAGATATAGGGAACGCTGAAGGGGATCTTATCAGTTATATTAGGTCTATCTACTTGAGCAACATGTGTTCCACGCCGCCTTGCCCTTCCAGCATGATATTCATAGCCGTTAGAAGCCGCTATTCTACGAGCCAGCGCAAGAGACCAACTCTATCGTTGTTCTCAAAAGGTGAGTGCTTGGTTAGGCAGCTAATTACATCTACCGAAGCCTTAGAGTTTTGTTTGCATGGCTGCAGAGACGTTTGATCGGATAGTTTGCAAGTCGTACTGTCCATAGCAGTCTCTGAAGAAGGGGATCTGGCGAAACGTCAGCCAATAAAGTGTTAACAATCTCGAGTCAAGGTTCAGAACCACAATTACCATATCATCTAATTTGGTAGAACCTGCAGAAGGCAAACGCTCAATCCTAACATTCACTTCAGAGAGAATCTAACATTTGAAGCCGCCTATACAGCAAATCTAAGGAATGAATAAAGCAACAGCCTATACAGCTTTTTAACGTTAAAAGGAGGACTGTCGAGGTAATTGCTAACCAGCCGAGTGTTACCCTTAACAAGTGGAGAGCGGCCCGTTCTGAATACTACTAAACAGTGTGTTGTTGTCGTTTGCGTTAAATAGCTGCTAGATTCTTTTCAAAATACTTCGAAATCGCGACACTTATGGTCATCCTCAGTTTTCTACCGCATCATGAATTACATGAAGTTTGTTGTAGAGATATGGAATCTTTGCTTGTTGTGATTTCAAAAAGGTACAGGGATTCTATGTCAAAACCTCTGCTTGAGCACAGCACTTATAAGGAAGCGCTGAATTGAATTGCTTATGATCTAGAATTTGAAAGCATTCGGTACACCTAACGATAAGTCTCATCATCTAGATTACAGCAGTTTCGAAGCCCTTGAGTCAAACGCACGCTCTCCCTCAAGTATTAGGCTTAAAAGATCTGAGACTAACAAAAAGGAACTTTCCCCGGTATATACGGACAGATGGCTTCTTGTTGAGTCCGTATATACCGAATTGAAAATTGCGAGCGATTTCATGGAACGGCTCATTTCTCTATTCCAGGCGTAAGATGAAGCTATAAATTCATGCTTGAAAAGTTGACTACTTGTAAGTCGTAAAGAGTAGTTTCCCTTCACGAAGTATAATATGCGTTGCATGTATAGCTTACAGCAAGTCATAATGCGGAACATGCAAAGTAAGACAATGATTACTCACGTCCTCTTGCATTTTCATCTCCAGCGACGGTCGATGTGGGTGCCGACTTTCTGAAAGTATGAATCTACTTAATTCACTGAACAGTCAATCTTTGTGATTTCAGGAATGTAAACTTGCCTCTGGCTAACCAAGTTTTACAACTCCTCCAGCACACACACACACACACACACACACACACACACACACACACACACACACACACACACACACACACACACACACACACACACACACACACACACACACACACACACACACACACACACACACACACACACACACACACACACACACACACACACACACACACACACACACACACACACACACACACACACACACACACACACACACACACACACACACACACACACACACACACACACACACACACACACACACACACACACACACACACACACACACACACACACACACACACACACACACACACACACAACACACACACACACACACACACACACACACACACACACACGTGTTCTTTGGCCTAATGACTGGACAAAATTTACTTTCCTTGTAAAATTCAGTTTTGACTCTTTTTCTACAACGGTCCTCCAAATCAATTGTTAAAACAAATGATTTTCACAGCCACAAATAGTAAATGCACGCCTTATGGATTCACTCTTTAACATTGTTCGTAGCTTTTTTAAAGGTGATGGAAAATGATGGAAAACAAACCTCAGGAAGTAAATGATCATCGATTCACTTACTTCGTTTCCATGTCAAGAATATCGGGCACGGGTAATGCAAAGTTTCGATACCGACTTGTTGACACAGTTTTGAGAAAACTTGCGAAATTTCGCTGTTGTTGAGTAGATATTTCATAACAAAAGCAATTTACAACCAGTTGTGTTTTATAACATTTCAAAAAGCTTGCATGTCATTTCGAAGAACCACATTCGATTGCTTTGGGGCTTGCTTTCGAATTTGCTTTTTCTTCACATGTGCTTTGACAATAAGTGTTCCAAAGTTGCTTACTCTCTGCAGGATAGGGGCCGTCATGTTCAGGTAGTGGAAAACCAGCCTTGATAGGAATCTTTTCTCATCAGAGGATGAGTTGGTGATAATACACTCAATTTTGCGCACACTTTGGAATATTCGAATAATCGGATATGCACAAAAATTCAAAACGTTGAAGAATCGAACCTGTAATACTTCAAAAATGAAAGTGTCGAATATCCGAATATCAAATTCCAAAATCAATGTCAAATAACCAAATCCTAAAACTTTCCAACATAAAAAATGTCGATCAATTAGATATCGAGTGTTTCCAAAACGGTGAAATCTCGAATAATCGCATGTTTTGTATCGATTATTGATGTTTGATTGCAATGAATTTGAGTTCCCACCAGTATGGAACTTCAAAGTAATGCTAATCATCTAGCTCAACAGTGTGCTAAGTCTGTCTCTGATAGAAAAAATGAGTTTTTAGAATACTGAGATATGCAATGATATTCAAGTTTCGACTTGTGGTTCGTCGAAAACTGAAAACAAAACAAAAAAAACAAAAAAAACAAAACCGAAAACAATACACTCTTGTTCTTTATGATTATAGGGAAAGGATATCAGAAAAACAGAGTATGGAGAAATAACATGAGAAAGGTAGACATATGAGAAGACTTGATTATTTTTAGTGCTTTTGTAAAAACGCATTTTCGTGCAAGTTATTGATGGGATTTGGCAGAAACCTTGGAACAACATGGCTGACATATTAGGTTGTCCGGAAAATAATGTCGCATGGCATCCTACCGCGACAGAATGACCATAAAAAATAGCGAATGGGGTATCATTCGATAGAGCAAAGAAACCCCTACAAGATAGTTCACAAAACTATGCGGAAATCGTGCTCCACCTGAAGTTCGAATCCAAAATATAAAAATTATTAGATGTCCGAAAAATCGTATCTCGGTTCATAGACGTCTTATGGATCTCCAATTTGCACAGGCATGTACTCTCTACACTAGACATTCACCTGTATAGTTTGTGGTATTTTTCCTTGGCTACAGTACGAGAAATAAAAATAGGTCAAAAGTGCGAATATGTCGCGTCTTTCGGGTTTTTTGCAAACAATTTGATTTTTCTTGAAAACTAGCGCTTGTCTAAAGCTGAAAAATTATAATTATACCTCTAAAGGTTCCTACTACAGAATCGCCCATGTTAGAGAAGCTCAGGATTGTTTTGGCAAAAATGTGCCGAATTTCGTTTTCTCAATTTTTAGCCATGGAAAAACAGCGAAAATGTGCATAAGTGTGTCTCGTATAGTGAGTCCACGCGTGAGCAAGTTAAGGGTTCCCAGGACGTTTCCAAATGGAGATACGATTTTTTTTCGTTCTTTAGATCTTTAGTGCCTTGTGAAATTTGGCTCCAAACTCCACGCAAATCAAACCTGGCGCAAAGGCTCGAGCTTCATTTTGTAGAGCTTGTTTTGATCTATCGGATCATACCCCATTTACTTACTTTCGTGCTCACTCTGCCACGATTTTGCATGTTAAAATAAAAAGCGACATTATTTTCCGGACAACCTAATAGAATATTAGCCATAAAAATGCTATGGAGTTTTCTTAATGGAAGGAAGATACTTTTAGCAGAATTGGGAAGAAAACGGACGATGCATTCATTAAATTGCATTCATTAATTTCATTCATTCATTCTCCAAATTCCAAAACCATAGAAAGTGAACTAACCCCGACTTTTGTCGCAAGAGCCAAAAGCATTGCACATATGCACAAACATTTGTTACTAGAGTATTCAAGTTTTTTATAGCTCCCGAATGTCTTCGGTAGCATCCTAATATCAGGTCGGTGCAAAAGTTTTGTCACTTTTTTTACGCACTGCAAATACGGTGGAATTAAAAACAGAGTAAATAAACTGATGCAGAACTTCTCTTCTTTTCAGCTGCTATATACACCCGATGCGATTCATTGAGAGAATGCTGAATAATTGCTGGAAATGACAAACCTTCGTTTTCACAATGACCATTCGCTAATGAAAGTTTTTTGAGATTTTCAGGGAAGCTTCAATAGCCAGCAGCTAGGAATGACCTTTTTCCAACTGCGGCAAATTTTTATCTTTTCTCAGCTATGCTCAATAAAGTAATTTTTCCAAAGATCTTGAGTTAAAAAATGCGTTATATTTGTTGCAACAAACACTGCAACATCTTCGAAGTACTGAGGCTCTTGTTTCAGGTAACTTTGAATTATGAAGGTTTCGACTTAAAGTCAAAATCTTCATAGTTCGAAATTCTCATTTATTTTGTAGAGTGATCAGTAGTAATGATCGAGTTTAAAGACTTTGAGGATGTTGCAGCGTTTATTGCAATAAGTGCCACGCATTTTTGAGTATCTTTAGAAAGTTACTTTAAAGTATAAGCTGAGAAAAGATAAAAATTTGCCGCAGTCGGCAAATTTCAGTCCTAGCTGGCTATTGAAACTCCCCCGAGAATCTCAAAAAACTTTCATTAGCGAACGGTCATGGTGAAAAGAAAGGTTTGTCATTTCCCAGATTATCAACAAAGTTTCAAATGAGTTTGAAGTGTTTGAAGTTCGTCACTTGGGAAGGACGGTTATGCTTTCTTGAAAAATAAAACTAAGATCTCAATGCCAAATGGTAACTGAAAGATCTCAGCCTCAAATGATAACTAAAATTATCCATGTCGCACATGTTTACACGCATTACGAATAGGTGTTTCTCTTACATTAGAAACCGAAGCAGATAAGTGCGACGTCGCGTTCACTTTGGCGCTATCTTAGCTATCGCCGTTGATTACCGCAGGTTAAAAGGGAGTCGTAGTCATTGAAAACAAGCGCAACATCTCCGTTAAAGGCAGTGTCCGGGCAAAAACTCGATTTTGAGATTTAGTGTTTTCCCCGGCCTACTCGCTACACTGAATCCGAAAGTGCACATTGGAGAGCGCGAGAACGGCGAAAGCAGCTCTAACACAGGAGGGAAATCAGCAGTTGGGGGGGGAGGGAGGGAAGGGAGGGGTCCTCCCCACTGTGAATTCACGTTCCCAGCTTCCGGAGCGATCTTTTCGCTTCCGATTTCAAGTCAATCATTCGCACTTGGACGCTTCGGAGGTTGGGAAAGTGAATTCAGAGTAGGGACGAATCCACCCACTTGCTATTTCGGTAGGTGCCAGAGTAAGTGAATAATTTGTTCTGGTTGGGGTCTCGCGCAGAATGGACGTCACTTGGATTGACGCCAGCATGGCGAGTGACGTCCATTCTGCGCGGGACCCCAACCTGAACAAAATATTCGCTTACTCTGGCACCTACCTTCCCTCCTGAGCTAGAGTCCTTTTTTGCCATTTTCGCGCTTTCCAATGTGGATTTCGGATTCAGCATGGCGAATAGGCCCGTATAAGCTCAAAATCTCAATATCGAGTTTTTGCCCGGGCACTGCCTTTGAGTCGGGAAACCCGGACATGGATCTGAGACTAAGGAGCCGTAGAAATGCCTATTTGGCACTTGTCACGTGCATTTGGCTTGGAAGTGCTTGCAGCACATTTTGCGGTAGAACGCAGTAGAATCGCCGGTAAAATCCGGGTCTCGATGCGACCCAATGCGCGAATTCAGCCAAAATCATCCTTCTATATATATAAAACCGAATGGTGTACTTGTCTGTACGCTGGTGGATAAGCATGCTTGCGTGTTGTTGATGCTGTCTATAGGTCCTCGATGGTGTTTTCGTGTCTATCGTATCCCAGTATGGAAACTTGTTATTACGTCTACCAAATTCATCGATTACCTGCAGATTTTGAACTACGAGGCTGGGAGTTGGCACATATGGATAAGGGAACATGCATGATTACGAATATGATAACCATTTTCAAAAATACGTATTACTTCTATCATTTTCTTTTTTTGCAAAGTTCAAGCTACGGGACTGGGAGTTGGCACAGGGGGTTAAGCGAACATGCTGATTACGAATACAGTATTAGTTTTTAGAAGTATCAATTACTTTTATCAATTTATCACTTTTTTGGCAAAGCTCAA